TCCGGACTGCTGTGCGGGAGGTCGAGAGTTCAATACCGGCCGGACCAACACTCAGGGTCTTAAAATTAACTGAGAAGAATATGCGTCCTTTCTTTAACATCAAGAAATGGTTAGATATTCTAGTCTTCTCGGATAGGGACGAGTAAATGGAGGTCCCGTCTCAGGGTTGGGGTAGGAGACGTTAATTTCCCACGCACGAGATTACTGTGTGATGGATGTCCTCCCTGGGGTGGGTTGGGTGAGTAGTTAGAGGGCCGTTCTGAAAACCACTTCTGTGAGAACGCACCCTGTCTAAAGATTATTATCTATCTATCTATCTAAACTATCATCAACTATCACCAACTATCTTTCGCATGGTCAAACGGCCACAAAAGCTCGTGATAGCTGATGATAGTTCCCCGGCAGTCGCGCGAGCAAAGTCACGCGAGCAGCCTGTGACATCTCTGTTGTGGTAATCAGTGGAAAAAATGTCCCAGAGGCAGGGCAAGGCAGGGCAGGGCCGGGCCTCAATATTCGTCTATTAGACGAAATATCAGGTCGTTACTCAATCTCGCCGTTGAACGTTTAGTGAAACGCTGTTTTTTCGGCGGTGTCTCTTCGAATTCCTGCGAGTTTACGCTTTCTTCAGATTCTTGGTTTTCAATATTTTCTTTCTCATTATTAATATCTTGGGTATAAAAACGAATTTCTGAAGCTGAAGCTGAGCCTCGCGAGAAGCTTTTGGCGGCCATTTTAAACGAGCCCGCCGATTTTCGGAGAAAACAGCTGACCAAAAACTATCATGAACTATCATACGCGTGGTCAAACGAGAAAAACTATCATCGACCATCATGAAGAATTTGAACAAGTTCAAAATGAATGATAGTTGGTGATAGTCGATGATGGTGCATGAAAGCTGGTGGTCAAACGGAAGCGCACGCTTCAACTATCATCGACTATCATCAACTATCATCGATTAATATATACTAAAATTGTGGATAGCGTTGAAGGCGTGCTCTGATTGGCTAGTCAAACTCCGAATATCCTTTGCTATATACCTCCGAGCAACTCGGGAAAAAATGGCGTCCCGGTTTCCATCCCTGACAAGCGAAGAAATCACTCAAATCAATTTTTGGTGGTGTATATTATCTTACTGTTTTAGTATATACTAAAACAACTATTCACCTCAGTGTCGGTAGTTAGCGGTGGATATTTACCTCGCCGCTTCACGGCTTGGTAAATATCCACCACTAATCACCTCCACTTCGGTGAATAGTTGTTAACTATCATGCGCCGTTTGACCAGGGCTTAAGACTTTTGTCACCCACAACAACAAACTGACGGAGGTTCTAGACTGACCAAAATTAGAAATAATCTTATTTCGATTTAAGTAGAAATTTAAGTACAACAAAAAGAGAAAATACAAGCAAAACTCCAAAGTATCCAACAGGGTCTGATATATGGACTTGAAACTTTCTTAAGTCGAAGTGTGCAATATGTACGCATCACTGGAAAAACCGCCAAATTGAAAGCCATGAATTTATCATAATTGTACTTTGAATCATGAAATGGGGGACACGTTCCGAAGAGGAAAACTTAGATTTGAAAACAAAATTCGGGAGGTACCTAGTAGGTGAACATAGCAATAGCAAGACAAGTAAAAACGAGAGAAAACGAAGAGGCTGTCGTTATCATTTAGAGACGAAATACGCCATAGCGAGACGTCAAGCGAGAAAATACTACAAAGATCCATATTTAGAAAAGAATAACTTCATTTTTCATGAAAGTCATCTTACAACTTAACAAGTTAGTTTTGTAAATTGATTTCACTGCACGTGGTTTCAATGCCTTCAATTTCAACTCACCAGTGTGAACCGTAGTCAAGATATAAACAAAACAGACAGCCATATGGGTAACTCCGGTCCGCACACTCATCCTTGCGACAACGACTTCAAAGCGTTTTAGACTGCGACAACGACTTCAAAGCGTTTTAGACTGCGACAACGACTTTAAAGCGTTTTATACTTTTTCGTAAGTGTTCGTTTCACTAAACAATAGAAAATGGCTCCTTTTTTCTTGATAATTTTTTACTAAAAGCCACCTGAACCACGCTGGAATCAGAGACACGCCAGTAGTTGAATTAATGAATGAATGAATGAATGAGTGCGATCACAATGTTTTGTTGACGAAATGAGGGCGTGCTCACGCGCATTGCGCGAGAAAAGTGGCTGATGCAATAACACCACACTATCACATGCAGCTTACACATTTCATAATTTGGAGTGAGAAGGAGCGAACCAACATCTTAAACGAAAATCTCTTTCGCAAAAATAAATAGAAAAAAGTCCCTTTCCTCGTTGTAAAGTTGAAAATTAGCGACCTTAAGTCCGATCTTTAGGTTATTTGTTTCCTTCCTTTTTCCTTTTTTTTTTTTTCTCTTTTTCTTTTTTTGTCACGCCCTGTCATCTGGGTCAGGAGGAAAACGAAACAGTAAGTATTCGACTAGTCATGCCTGAGGACAGATTTCAGATTCGAACTAACACTTTATGAAAATTTCGTTTTCTAGCCAGTGTTCCTGTTACTCATGCGAATTTTTTAGTGTTATAACTCACTCCGATGGTTGATAATCACATCTCATTATATTAATCGCAGGTGTGAATCTCGCTGAACCATAAATTAGAATATTTATTGGTAAAAACCACTTTGCTACTACTTAGTTTCCTACACAATACGAGTTAATGAATTATATTTTTGAATTTCGCAACTTCAGCGGAAATATCGCCTGAAACGATATCCAAGGCAAGGAACAAATGTAGCAAGAACTTCACTCGATCATTGCTTATATAGCTGCTGTCAGATAACATCCTGTAATTTAAAATTTATAAATTTTCATATCGCTTGTCCAATACTGCTTCTTCTAGACCCAGACAGTCTATTTTCTTCTTTGTCATCGATTGTCGCCATGGCTAGAGAAAGTACGAAACACAAATCTGATAAGAGAGGCCCGATTAGCAAATACGTCAACTTGTCTTGTGACTAGATATATTGGCCAACTTCACCACGCTGCTCTCGAAAATGATGAATGCAATTTGTTCGTTTCCAAGCGGAAGAGAATCCGTATCACCGGAACACTTAAAATTTCAAATTCACCTGTAAAGCTGACAAGTTTCATTTCGTTTTTGTTTCCTTTAAGCTGGTGTCTCCATCAGTTGAAGTTTTTCCTGGCAGTAAGAAACGGTTCCGATCATTTCCTCATCGTCGAACAAAAAAATCATCATCATCATCATGGTCTTTGATCAACTCGGAGGAACTCGGACTGCGACAAAATTGACATTAATTTCTTGTGAATAATACATTAGGGGAGTCTATTTCATCCGCTTTTACAACTTAAGACTACTACAGCGATTGGTGAAACGTCTATTTATTTACACACTGTAATCTGTTATTCTTTCACTGCATTTGATAGTTACACCTTTCGCTTTAGCTGTCACAGAAAATATTTATGCTTATTTTTAAACCTTCAATTTCCCAGGTCGGTACTCYTAGTTCGCTTCAGGTGCTAATTTCGTCGAATTTGATTTAAGCCAAAGGACGGACTACTGAAATAGAATTTCAGTTGATATGCAACGTCATTTTATAAACAAACATCGCTGACCTTTCAATTATTTGCATAACTACTTTCGATTCGTTCTCCCTAGTTTATCGTCGTCAAGTTTGGCTTCACAACTCCTGAAATTCTGTTATCTACTGAGTTTTTTTTATTTAGCTCCTTAGGGAACTATGAAACATTTCGAAAGAACAAAAAGACGAGTTAACAAGTTACCTGAAAAACTTGATGATTCAAACAGAACAGAATTAACTGAACACAACACAGTACCCCGATAAAATTCATAAATTTACTCAAGATCGAAAGCGCAGATCAGCTATGGAAATAATTCAAATTTCGACCCTGTTATCGGTGTTTGTTATGTCTTAAAGGAATGACTCCTATGTAAATAATGTCTTTGTTTAACCTTTTGTAACTACAACATTCATGACCCACTGAAAAGGATAGAAGCTTTCTATGACGAGAAGCTAAGACCTTAAAAAGTCATGAAGCAGTTAACAATTGATAATCTTTAATTCAAGAATTTAAAATCTGACTGGAATTTCTCTGTTCGATATTTACATAGCTTAGCGACAGTCTCCGCTAAAAATACTAGGAGAGCACTATAAAGTGGTGAATGAAATGGTCATGGAAAATTCTGGCGCTCAGAAAGGCGAAATTAACTTTCGATTATCGAGGGAACTGAAATAACTCAATGTTAAGAAAATATGGAATATTTAATCATTTTCTGCAAGTTTCTACGTCACATTTCAGCACAATTCCCTTTATTTATAGGTTGCTGTGGAAAGATTATACTGCCCTGGGTTTCTGAAGGTTTGTTTTGGGGACGGTCGTTAAGTTAGTGTTAGTGCTGATTACGTCAGCAAGGCCACTCAAGGTTACTCGCGCACAGACTTAATAACGTCGCTACGTTTTCCGTCTTCTAAATTTTTTATTGCTGCAGGAAGTTCATCTGAGTTATGTGCTAAATATTTTATAATAAGGGAATGAGCGTGTGTCGCAGGTCGCCGGATCTAGTAGAATTTGAAAAGTTATTTTAAGAAAAAACACTACCTATCACCGTGGCTTTTTTATACGTGTTATCGGTCTTTTTCCGGTCGTTACTACACCCGACAAACTTTGCCCCGGTGTCTGAACCGACACAAATTAGATCCTTTATCATAAAGGATTGTTTTGATGGTAGCTTCTAGTAAATCTTAGTCTGATTGGCTTCCTTTTTCCTGCTTTCTTTTTCGTTTTTGTCATCTTTTTAGCTTCGCCTGTCTGTTGAGTTAAGGTTATGGCCGTCATACGGTGGCCCACAGGGGCATGCAGTACAAATTTTTTTTTCCCAGTACAAAACTATTTTTCCCAGTACAAAACTATTTATTCCAGTGCAAAAGTATTTATCCCGGTACAAAACTATTTATCCCAGTTCAAAACTATTTATCCCAGTACAAAACTATTTATCCCAGTGCAAAACTATTTATCCCAGTGCAAAACTATTTATCCCAGTGCAAAACTATTTATCCCAGTGCAAAACTATTTATCCCAGTGCAAAACTATTTATCCCAGTGCAAAACTATTTATCCCAGTGCAAAACTATTTATCCCAGTGCAAAACTATTTATCCCAGTGCAAAACTATTTATCCCAGTGCAAAACTATTTATCCCAGTGCAAAACTATTTATCCCAGTGCAAAACTATTTATCCCAGTGCAAAACTATTTATCCCAGTGCAAAACTATTTATCCCAGTGCAAAACTATTTATCCCAGTGCAAAACTATTTATCCCAGTGCAAAACTATTTATCCCAGTGCAAAACTATTTATCCCAGTGCAAAACTATTTATCCCAGTGCAAAACTATTTATCCCAGTGCAAAACTATTTATCCCAGTGCAAAACTATTTATCCCAGTGCAAAACTATTTATCCCAGTGCAAAACTATTTATCCCAGTGCAAAACTATTTATCCCAGTGCAAAACTATTTATCCCAGTGCAAAACTATTTATCCCAGTGCAAAACTATTTATCCCAGT